CACAGTTGTTGTCAAAACCAAGCGTTTCATTGGTGACATCTTCCATAGCTGAATAACCGAACTTGTTGTCTGATCAACGAAATCGGCGTTTCGCGTGAGACATCCTCGGACAAATAGGATGTCAACAGAGCTGTTGCTACTACCACTCATGCTAAGACGACGCTCTCGCTCGAGACATCCTCAGACAATGAGCACCAGCACGACAAACCAACATTGCTGTATGTGTTGGCGTCGTTTCTAACTTCTCATCTCGCTAGGGACATCCTCACAAAACTGACCTATGCCCAGCATCGTCTTGGTATCGTTTCTGAAGTGTTCGAAGATGAAGAACCAAAGGCCCGAAAAGGACCCCGGGATGGCTCCAAGAGCACCATGAGGACTTTCGAAAATGACGATACCGCTAGGGACATCCTCAAGAAAATGATGATACAACACCATAGTTTCGAATCGTGTCTAACATCGTCTTGGCACCGCTCCCGAAAGGCCTCACGACAACCTAAACCAGCCTTCCAAAAGTGGCGATTTCGCTAGGGACATCCTCATAAAGTAAATGCGTGTGAGATCGTGGGTTCATGTTTGAAGGCCTCAAGGCGGCCCAAACGAGCCCTCGTCAGGTCCCAAGATAACCCCAAGAGCGCCCTCAAGACAAGCGACAATTACGATTGCGCTCGGGACACCATCATCGAACTACGAATGTACCAGCATCGACATATGGAATTATCCTGCGAAGGACCCAAACAGATGCAGTTATGAGTAACGCGTTGTGGGTGCCGCTTTCGTCGGAGCTTCGTATGGGGCAACTAAACGCGTGATGAGCGTGCCGTAATGGGTGGGGGAGACGCATGCGGGCGGTGCCACTGGGACCGTCGGCTGAGCTCCCTATGGGCCACGAAACGCTGTACTGGGTGTGGCTGACGCATGCGGGCGGTGCCCCTCGCTGGAGCTCCCGATGAGGCCACGAAACGCTGTACTGGGTGGGGGAAACGCATGCGGGCGGTGCCGCTGGGGTCTTTCTGTGGGGCTCCCTACGGGGCCACGAAACGCTGTTCTGGATGGTGGCTGACGCATTCGAGCGGTGCCATTGGGGCCTTCGGTGGAGCTCCTTATGGGGCCATTGGAGGGGGGGACGCATGCGGGCGGTGCCATTGGGGCCTTCGGTGGAGCTCCTTATGGGACCACGAAACGCTGTACTGGGTGAGGGGTCGCATCCGGGCGGACCAATGGAGCTTCCTACGGGGCGACGAAACGCTGTACCGGGTGGGGGCTGACGCATGCTGGCGGCGCCATTGGGACCTTCGGTGGAGTTCCCAATCAATGGGGCCGCGAAATGGAGTGCTGGGTGGTGGACAACGCATTCGGGCGGTGCCATTGGGGTCTTTTGTGGAGCTCCCTGCGGGGCCACGAAACGCTGTACTGGGTGGTGGCTGGCGTATGCGGGCGGTCCCATTAGAACCGTCGGTGGAGTTCCCTATGGGGCCACGAAGCGCTGTACTGTGTGGTGGCTGACGCATGCGCGCGGTCCCACTGGGACCTTCGGTGGAGCTTCTTATCAATGGGGCCGCGAAATGGACAACGCATGCGGGCGGTGTCACTGGGGCCGTCGGTGGGGCTTTCTATGGGGCCACGTAACGCTGTACTGGGTGGTGGCTGACGCATGCGGGCGGTCCCACTGGGACCTGCGGTGGAGCTCCGTATGGGACCACAAAACGCTGTACTGGGTGGTGGCTGACGCATGCGGGCGGTGCTACTGAGGGCGTCGGTAGAGCTCCCAATCAATGGGGCCGCGAAGCGCTGTACTGGGTGGTGGCTGACGTATGCGGGCGGTGCTACTGAGGGCGTCGGTAGAGCTCCCAATCAATGGGGCCACGAAGCGTTGTACTGGATGGTGGCTGACGCATTCGGGCGATCCCACGGGGACCATCGGTGGAGCTTCCTGAGGGGCCACGAAACGCTGTACTGGGTGGTGGTTGACGCATGCGGGCGGTGCCACTGAGGCTTTCGGTGGAGCTCCCTATGGGTCCACGAAACGATGTGCTGGGTGGTGGCTGATGCACGCGGGCGATCCCACTGAGACCTTCGGTGGAGCTTCCTATGGGGCCACCCACGAAGCGCTGTGCTGGGTGGTGGTTGACGCATGCGGCATGCGGGCGGTCCCCACTGGGACCTTCGGTGGAGTTCCCGATTGGAGCCACGAAACGCTGTACTGGGTGGGTGAAACACAGGAAGGAAGGGCTGTGCTGGGTGGTGGTTGGCGCAAGCGGGCGGTCCCACTGGGAACTTCGGTGGAGCCCCTTATGGGGCCACGAAAAGCTGTACTGGGCGGGTGAACGCAGGGAGGAAGGGCTGTGCTGGGTGGTGGGTGCCGCATGCGGGCGGTCCCACTGGGACCTTCGGTGGAGCTTCCTATGGGGCCACGAATCGGTATATTGGGTAGGCGAAACGCAGGGAGAAAGGGCTGTGCTGGGTAGTGGTTGACGCATGCGGGCGGTCCCACCACTGGGACCTTCGGTGGAGCCACGAAACGCTGTCTTGGGTGGGTGAAACGCAAGGGGGAAAGGGATGTGCTGGGCGGTGGATGACGCATGCAGGCGGTCCCACTGGGACCTTCGGTGGAGCTCCGTATGGGGCCACGAAACGCTGTTCTGGGTGGATGGAACGCAGGGAGGAAGAGGAGGGAGGAGGGGGAGGAGGGAGGAGGGAGGAGGAGAACGCGGGGAGCGTCTCTTCAAAACGGGGACCCAACACCACATGACGGTTGGGACAAATTTCCTTGGCGAACGACCCAACCAGATGCAGTTGTGAGCAACGCGTTGTGCATGCCGCTGTTGGTGAGGCTCCTTGTGGGGCCACGAAACGCATGAGGAACGTGCCGTAATGTGTGGGGGGGACGCACGCGGGCGGTGCCATTGGGGCCTTCGGTGGTGCTCCCTATGGGCCACGGGACGCTGTACTGGGCGTGGCGGACGCATGCAGGCGGTGGCCTTCGCTGGAGCTCCCAGTGAGGCCACGAAACATTGTACTGGTTGGGAGAAGACGCACGCGGGCGGTGTCACTAGGTTTTTTTGTGGAGCTCCCTACGGGGCCAGGAAACGCTGCGCTGGGCAGTGGCCGACGGATGCGCGAGGTGCCAGTGGGGACTTCGGTGGGGCCCCCTATGGGGCCACGAAGCGCTGTACTGGGAGGGGGACGCATGCGGGCGGTGCCACTGGGGCCTTCGATTGAGTTTCCGTGTGGGCCCACGAAACGCTGCACTTGGTTGGGGGTCGCATGCAGGCGGACCACTAGAGCCCCCTTACGGGGCCACGAAATGCAGTATTGGGTGGGGGGGGCGCATGCGGGCGGTACCATTGGGGCTTGGTGGAGCTCCCAATCAATGGGGCCGCGAAATGGAGTGGACGACGCGTGCGGGCGGTGCCACTGATGTTTTTCTGTGGAGCTCCCTATGGGGCCACGAAGCGTTGTACTGGATGGTGGCTGACGCATTCGGGCGGTCCCACGGGGACCATAGGTGGAGTTCCCTATGGGGCCACGAAACGCTGTACTGGGTGGTGGCTGACGCATGCGGGCGGGACCTTAGGTGGAGCTCCCTATGGGACCACGAAGCGCTGTACTGGGTGGTGACTGCCGCATGCGGGCGGTGCCCCTGGAGCCTTCGGTGGAGCCCCATATGGGGCCACGAAACGCTGTGTTGGGTGGTGGCTGACGCATGCTGGCGGTGCCACTGGGGCTATCGGTGGAGCAGGGCGAGCAGCTGGACTTGATGCGTGGCATCGCTGCCATCGCTTCCGGTGAGGAGCTCGAGGAGCACGACGCCGCATGGGCATCGCGCGGTGCAACAGTGCGGAGTACGGGCACGACGCTGAGCAGCACGACAGAGTCGAGGGGCGCTGCAGTGAGCTATCAGAGTGCGTCGCTGAGCAGCACGAGCGCGACGCGAGCTGGGATGATGGCGTGAAGGCGGCCGCTGCGACGGAGGCCACGCGGCCGGCGCTGGCCGAGGCCCCTCGCGGAGCCCGCCGCGGGCCCCGACGACAGCGGCGGCGAGGCCGAGGGCACTCGCTCGCGCGCGGCCCGCCGGATGGAGTCGGCGAGCGCTCCAGCGACGCTTTCGGCGAGGAGGAGCTTGCGAGTGGCTTGGGGGTCAATGCAAGCAGTGGCGAAGCGTCCTGGCTCGCCTGTAGTCCTACCAGACAATGTTCAAACAACCCTTTTTGTGATTTCCACGAAATGTTCTCAGAATGCGTCTGGCGGAGTCCGTCTTGCTTTATCACATCTGGTTGATGTTCCAGGTGCGGCCCGAGGCCGAGCTCGAGGGCCACGCGTTCGACATCCTTGGGGGGCCTGGGCCTCTCCCGGGCCTCCTTCCGCGACGTCTGCGGGCGCTTGGAGGCCGAGAGCGTGGTTTGGTCGTCCTGGACAGAGGCGATGGCCAGGAAGCTGGGGCCCGAGTGCGCGGCGGCGACGACGGGCAGAGAGGCCCAGTTCGTGGCCGCGCAGAAGGCACAGCTGCGGCGAGCTGGAGCCAGCCCGAGTGCTGCGGCCACTTCGGCAAGGCCTTGGACGCGTGAGCGGTAGCCCCGTCATTGGTTATCTCCCTTTTGGTTCTTCTCTTCTCTTCCGCCTGCCCTTCTCTTTGGCCGTTCTCTTTCGTTCTCTTTACCCGTGGGGCCCCGCCATTCCATTGGCAGACCACAGCAGCACGGCAGGCCAATACGGCAGGCCACAGGAGCACCGCAGACCACAGCAGCAGAGCAGACCAGCACGGCAGACCATAGGAGCACAGCGGACCAGCATGGCAGACCGTAGCAGCACGGCAGACCAGTACGTCTGACAATATCAGCACGGCAGACCACCACGGCAGACCACGAGCACTGCAGGTTTGCACGGCAGACCAAATTCCGGAGCCATTTTGGCTCAAGCCATTCGGCAGGAGTCTGGCGCGGAGGGCCGCCCCTCGTGCGGCGCAGCCTCGTGGAGGCTAGGCGCACGGCGCGCGCGGCATGGCTCCCTCAGCGGCGCTGGTGGAGCTGCTCGCGGGCTGCCCCGTGGCCGCTGGCGCCTTCGGCGCTGCCGCCGCGGCGGTCCAGGCGGGAGGCACGGCGAAGCACCTTGCCGCCCTCGTCGCCGCCGCGGCGCGCGGAGCGGTGCAGGCAGGGAGCTGCACGACCGCGGTGGAGCTGGACGACGGCGCCAGCGGCGCGTGCACGCTCCTCAAGGACATGGAGGAGGTCCTCCTGGCAGTGGGCAAGGCTGCAGGCCGCAGCGACAAGCCTGGCATCTCTGAGGCCAAGCGCTTGCTGCGGGATCGCGGGCCGCCGGGGGCCCGCCTGGCTGCTCGGCTCGGCCTGCTGAGCAGGGCCAGGAACGTGGCCGGACACCCCGGCGTCGCCCTGGCCGCGGACATCCTGGGCGTCTTCGAGGCTACGCGCGGCAGCGACGGCGGGGATGGCTCCTCCTCGGATGGATGCGGCGCCCCCCCTTCGGGATCGGAGGAGGAGCAAGGACCGAAGTGCGTCCAGGCCCTCGGAGCCGATGCGGGGCCCGAAGGGGTCATAGGTGCTGGCTCGGGACTGGCTGCGAAGCGCGGCGAGCAGGAGGGCGGGCCCAAGGAGTGCGACGCTGAGCAGCACGACTGTGTCGAGCAGCGGGACGGAGTGTGCGGAAGGATGGGCGAGCAGGGCTCGGCCGAGTTCTTCGACATCGGGAGCGTAGGCGATCCCTCCGAGGGCCTGCCTTTCGTCGAGGAGCCCGAGGTCGAGTCCCAGGAGGGCGCGAAGTCCGTGGAGGTCGACCTGGCGGCGCACGGCGCGAAGGCCTCGCAGGGAGTGGTAGATTCGACCGTGGGCGCAGTGCAGGCTCAGGCGGGGACCGAGGCGCTCGGCGCCGCCATGCTGGCGAGAGTTGCCTTCCAGCGCGGCGACATCACCGAGGGCCTTCGGCTGCTGGAGGCGGCACAGGCGAAGCACCTGGAGAGCGTGCCCAGGCGCCCTGGCGAGTGCTCGGGGTGATTTTCCTCCTTCCCCTGATCATGTATAGGTTCTGTTCTTTTGCGCAGTGCTTGCATGATTCTGGTGTTGCGAGTCGAATGGGATATGGTGTAGTATATGTTCCTTTCAGTGCTGCACTAGATGTGATCTTGTGTAGTATATGTTCTTGTCAGTGCTGCACTTGGTGGTTGTCTTGTGTAGTATATGCCAGAGGCTTCGTTTTTCTGTCTGTGCTGCACTTGTCTGGGAGGGGGGCCAACGCGGCCTCCTCGGGAGGGGCGGCCCTTCCGCGGCCCCCTCGGTTTTGGTCGTTCCCCGCCTTTAAGGCCCCACCAACCCAACCCAACACGGCAGACCAAAGTGAGCTTTTAAGGCCCCGATTGTCATTTTCACTTTCACGGCAGACCACAGGAGCACGGCAGACCAGCACGGCAGACCACAGCAGCATGGCGAACTAGAACGGCTGACCATAGAAACATGGCGGGCCATTGGAGCACGACGAACCAGCACGGCAGAGCCCGCAGCGGCCGTCGGGTCCGCTGGCCGCGAGGGGACGGGGGAGGGACGGTCACCTCTTGCGCGTCGAGCTCGTCACCAGAGGGTGGGCTGCGGGCGGCCGCCGCCCTTGTGCGCCGTCCAGCGGCGGCCGCGGCGCCCAGCGGGTCGGCCGAGGCCGCGATCAGCCGCCCAGAGGCCATGCAGGCGCACGGCTTGGAAGAAGGCGGCTAGGCCGACTGGGCGGACGAGGTCGTGGCGGCGGAGGAGCGCAAGCAGAGGCCCCGAGGCGCCTCGCGGGCCCCCCTGAGCCGTCTGCTGAAGGGTGGAGAGCGTGCGGCGGCGGTTGGCCGCCCGTGGGAGGACTTCGCGCTGTCTGCTTGCCCAGGCGGCAGCAACATCCAGCGGGCCTCCGCAGAACCACAAGGTCTTGTGAGGCGCTGACGCGCTCCTTCCGCCCCCCCAGGCGTGTGGCCCCGCGGGGCTCCGAGGCTCTGGCCCGTTCCCCGCTGGGCCCCCTGGGTGAGTGGGGCCTCGGTGGCCCTGGGGTGTGGCCCAAGGTGGCCTGCCCTTCTTTCTTTCTTTTTTCTGTGGCTCTAAGCCCCCACAGCTTCAGTTCCAGCTCGGCAGACCACAGCAAAACGGCAGACGAGCACGGCAGACCATAGAAGCACGGCAGAACCCAACAGCACGGCAGACCACATCAGTACGGCAGACCAGCACGGCACCCCAAATGAGCACGGCATACCAGCACGGCAGACCACAGGAGCATGGGGCAGACCAACACGGCAGACCACAGCATAACGGCAGACCAGCACGTCAGACCACAGCAGCACGACGAACCAGCACGGCAGACCTCAGGAACATAGCAGAGTTCAACAGCACGGCAGACCACATCAGCACGGCAGACCAGCACGGCAGACCACAGGAGCACGGCGGATTACAGCAGGACGGCAGATCAGCGCGGCAGACCAGGCGAGCACGGTACATAAGCACGGCAGACCACAGGAGCATGGGGCAGACCATCACGGGAGGCCAAAGCAGCACGGCAGACCAGCACGACAGACCACAACACCACGACAGAGCCTGAGAGAGAGCACGGCAGACCACATGAGCACGACGGACCACAGGAACACTGATGATTACAGGAGAATGGAAGCCCAACACAATCAATTGCCAGCAGTGATGTTGGTCGTTTGTGTTTCGTTTCCGAGTCCCGTTTGCGCGTTCAAGAGGACATGTTCTAACAAGTTCCACAGGCAAAGCGACGCTTCTTGTTTTTGCCCAGTCAGGTTTGTGACACATGACCGTGTCACCCGGGACATTTTCGGAAATTGTTTCGGAGGGGATTTTGAATCAACATCAGAATCGCTTTTGGAAGGGGCCTTCGTGGCATAAAAAGACCCCAGAAAAGCCACCCAGAGGACCCACAGAGTGCACGAAGAGGCCCCCAGGGGCCCCCAAACGGCCCAAGACAGCCCAAGGTGGCGCCAAGACGGCCTGAGAGAGCCCCCACAGAACCCCAAGACACGCCCAGACAGCCCAAGAAGACCCCAGCAGCCCCCAAGAGGACCCCAACAGGCCCCCATGAGGCCCCCAGGATGCCCCAAGATAGCCCCAGACGGCCCAAGCAGCACCCGGGGTAGCTGTAAAAAATCACGAGTCTCCCCACTTTTTGCGACGTCATTTTCGTCAGGTTCCGTACCGTCCTCCTTTGTCGTCGTCGTCCTTCTTCTTCCTTTCCTACTACTCCTCCTCCTCCTCCCCCTCCGCTTCGTTCCTCCTCGTACTCGTCCTCATCCATCTCTTCATCCTCGTCCTCGAGCTTGTCTTCCGACTCGTTGTCCTCCTGCTCCCCTCGTTGCCTTCTCCGTCATCCACGTTGTCATCTTCGACATCCGCCGCTTTCTCGTCGCCATCATCCTGTTTGTCTTTTCCTCGTAGGAGCTCAGTGGACAAAGTCGGTGCTTCCCAGTCTTGTCCGATCAGGTTTACAATCCTCATCGTCAACATCATCACCCTCATCGTTTCATCGTCGTCATAATTTCCCCCATCCTGCCATACACCCCACCCCACCCCACCCCGCCCCTCGAGCACCTCCTTGCCCACCTCCTCCTGTTCGCCCCCCCGCCCTCACCCGCGACATGATCTACACGTACGTATATTTGACTTCTCAAGTCATCGGAATCGTCGTCGTAATCGTCGACGCCGTCGTCGTCATCATCACCAGCATCATCATCACCATCATCAGCATCAGCATCGTCCTCGTCATCATCATCGTCGTCATCGTTATCGTTGTCATCGTCATCATCATCAGCATCATCATCACCGTCATCATCATCATCATCATCATCATCATCATCACCATCACCATCACCATCACCATCACCATCACCAGCATCATCATCGTCATCATCATCGTTCCCCTTTTCTGTCTCCTCTCTGTTCTCCTTCACCTTTACCTCCTTCTCCTCACCGACGTCTTCATCCTCCTCAGCTCCCAGCCACCTCACCAAAATCCCCCCTCCTGATCAACCCTGCCGCATCCAAAAGGCGCTGGCCGGACAGGGTCCACCAGAGCGGCTCATCAGACGGTTGCCTGGATGCCTCGAGGTGGTGCAAGGCAGCAGCGCCTTCCACCCAGCAGCACTTGCTTTGATGTTGAGGAGAAAGAGGGCGAGCAGGAGGAGGGCAAGGAGAATAACGAGCAGGACGAGGGGATGAGGGCGACGACGACGAAGACAACGACGACGCCGACGAAGGGGAGGATGGAGGAGGAAGAAGAGAAGCAGGAGAAGGACGGAGGACTGCGGACGGAGGAAAAGGAGGAAAAGGAGGAGAAGAGAGAGTGGGAGAACGGCGGCAAGACGGCCCAAGAGGCCTCTCAAGTCGAAGATGAGCTCGCACATCGATCGCACGTTCGCTTACGCCGACGATTTCTGCTTCGGGCTTGTGAATACGTTTCGGTTTATTGGGCCCGTCCTTCACACCCTTCGGAAACTGGAGCTGGTTACGGTTTTGTACCTGAACTTCAGGAAATGCCAGATCCTAGTCATCGGGAAATTTGACCTCGCTCTCCTGCGTGAGTCGATCGCGGTGCTGAAAGGCGACTTTAAGCTGTTGCAGGCAGTCGATACTGTGAAGTATCTCAGAGTGTTTATTGGCCCGCAGGCACATCGTGATGCCTGGATCGAGGCTCCTCCCAAGTTCCGCACGAGGGTCGGGGTAACCAGGCAACTCGGTCTTGGGCTCACAAGAGCTGCTATGGGTTTTTAGGGTAATGTGCGGTTCGGCTTTTGGGCTGTATCTAACAAGTTAACCCGCGGTGTCCAGAGACCTCTTGAAGTGTTACCGCGAATCCGTGATGTGTTTCACCGCCGGCCCGCGGAACGCGTTCTCTTATTCGTTCTGCACGCAATCGCGGCAGATGCACCTCCCGATCGAGTTTCAAGATCTTGCTTGCCTCGCGAAGGCAAATTGTATAAGAAACATGATGCGGACGATGGGATCGGCGCTGT